AAAATCTATAACAGAAAGAATGCAGCTGTGGCCCAAAGTCCCGACCTCCACATGAAATACTGTGATGGGCCCAAATTCCTCCACAGCAGCTTGAGACACCAACAAGTCATACAGAAAATAATTACCTCCAATGATTGATACTAAAGGTTTTTGTACCTGCGGCTGTGTCATGGCATGTGTTTGGCTTTTTACAGTCACTCACGTATCACTATGTGATGCTTTAAGATGTCAGTTCATGTTTAATCGTATTTTGTCTGTATTGAAGGCACGAGTGCTCCCAGAAGCCCTGCAGGTGACGTGCTGGATGTGGGGACACCGTTCTACCAGGACGGACAGCTCAGGGTTCATGTTTACTGGCAGAGAAGCGTGGGTATGTACAAATCATATCACACGTAACTGTTATGTGACGGCTGTGTGCAGACAGGAATAGGACCCAAAATGCAGACTCCGGAGACAGACGTGAACTCAAAAAAACAGCTTTAATGCTGAACTCAAAGTAACAAACTTCCAAAGTAAAAACATTAACGCAGGCAGGAAAAACAAAACACACAGCATAAGTGAGGGTAGATAAGAGTAGATCGCGACACTGACAAACTGAAACACAGGGCTTAAATACATAGAGGGAGCAATCAGGGAATGGGCAACAGGAGGGAGACACAGGTGGGGCAAATCAGGCCTAACGAGACAAGGGGAAGCAAAACCAGATACATTAACATCAGACATGGACCTTCAAAATAAAACAGGAAACATAACACAGACTGAACTACAGACACAGACTCTGTGTCTGTAGTTCACAGGGAGGTAGTGTCCAGGTAGGACACAGGGAGACAGCAACTAGAGAACACAGAGACAGAAAACCAGAACACTAAAACTCTAACCAAACCCCACCCAGAGAACCTAAACTAAGAATAATCCTAAAACCCATAAAGCAAAGCTAGAATATAATGAAATAACAAAATCAAAGAACCAAAAATACAAAACACTGGGTCGACGACCCAGGGACCCTAACAGTAACATCTGAGTTATCCTGCAGCTGCTCTGCGAATGTTCAAACAACTGCTGTTAAACGACAAATACCCCGTTTGAAACAGCGTGCAGAGATAAATGTGCCGAGGTTTACTCAGCAAAAATTGCAATACACGTTATTCTGAAAAAGAAACGTATTTTCTGTGCAGAATGTGTAAATATGATGAGTAATTCATGCTATGGAAGGAGGCTAGTCTGCTCATCAGCAAGAGGCTGAAGCGAATCCTGAAACATGAGCTGAGGTTAGAGCTGCTAAATGTCTCCAGGAAACTACTGCATCACAGCAGTCGGTGCCAAACTGCATAAAAACAAGAAAACAAGCACAAAAATAAAGTATGCAGAGCAAAAACGCAATTTTATGAACACAGACTCAAAGTTAAAAACAACATAAATGCTCTGTACCACACTCACAGTTAACACAGGGGA